TTTTCTTCTTTTTGCTTGAGAGAGAGCCGGCTTCAAGAGCTTGAAATGAAGCTAATTTTTGGTGATTTTTGGTTTATTTGGTTATTGGGTCAAATGGTCAAAAAAATGAATAGTTGTCATAACTCAAGACTTAATCATAGGGTGACACTTGTCACCCTATTTAATGCATCAATATCCTTTTGTTCCCTCTCACTCTAATCCATAAGGTATCCTCTAATTATTTCTTAGCACCCGATAAATTAAACTCAGTATCCGAAACATAATCTAATTGGTCGAATTTTTCCGAACTTTCCGCACTAGCGGGTCCCACGTCCGGTATATGCTCTTAATTTCTCAAAACCTATTCGATACTAGAAAAATCATCTAAAAACTATATCCGCTCATTAAAAATATCTAGAAATTTTTCTAATCACGAAAATGCAGAAAACAAGCCATGAAAGATAATAAAACCTAGAAAATGGGAAAAATTACAGGTTCTCACAGGATGGGCAAATAATAGATAAAAACCTAAGGTTTTAGGTATTAAACCAGAATTTGTATTAATTCCGTTGTTATCTTCTTAATAAGCGATAAATGTATCACACAATTATATTTTAGATTATTTGTCGATTCATCTAATGTGTCTTTAACTAAATCTCACATCTGTCTCGATATTGCAAGTGTTCAATTAAACCTTGTAAGAATTTAGGTCATATAATTGTATGATACAAACCTTAATCTACTTTCCTAATTAGTCTAAGTACATTTATCTATCTAGTGCATAGCTGTATCTCACTTTTCAGTTTAATACAAATCCAAAGGGCATGTTCATGTTGATCAGGCATAAACAAGTCATCAAGAGCAAAATATATAAGTCATAGTAGTAGTCAATAATTTAACTGAAAAAATTAATCAAAATTCCTTCATGAAAACCCTAACCGTAGAAGTAGTTTAGTTCAACATGTTTGGAAAATTAACACAAATTCAAAGAGTTAATACAAAATAAGAATAAGAGTAAGAAAACTTTTCAATTGCTTGCTCTAATCTTCTACTTGTGCTCTTCTTGATTCATCCATATTTGATCTTGATTTCTCAAGGAAAAGCTATGAAAAGTGGTTGGAACTAAGCTATACCATTGTTTTCTAACCCCTAAAATGTCCTAAATATCTCCCATTTATAACTACTAAAAATTACAAGTGAATCCCAATTGTAATAGGTTTCTTAAAGTTGAAGAAAATTTGCATGTGACCAAGTCCCGATGAAGTTTAGCTACAAGTCCGAAGTAATGTCTAGCGTTGGACATCAGTGGACTACTGATCATTATGTCTAGATAGAATACACCTCGGAGCCAAGTCTAATGCTGAGCATCAGTACATTTTCTACACCTTTGTTCACTTGCGCATCCAATCCTTGCTTTCCAAATTTTCCCTGTGAGACCCAATATATACTAAAATGAGGCATTTTTCATTTAATTTAAACAATTAGGGGATAAATAACCACAAGCAAATATAAGCATACTACAATTTACATCCTATCAAACTCACCCACACTTAATTCGTGTTTGTCTCCAAGCCTTTTAATGTGAACATTGGAATATTCCTAAATGAATTAGTCCGATTACTCAACTTTCATTACTAAAAAATCATATACTCATAGCTATCATCACTATTTGATGTGAAAGTCAACACTTTTAAGTGAAGACTCCTAAGTACAAGACAACGACAACCAGTAAAGTAGAGCTCAGTTTAATAAATAAGCATATAACCATAATCAAGAATAGAAAATCTTGCTTCACATCCTAATAATATAGATGATATGAACTACGCCAACCCTGTGACGCAACCCGAACATGATAAGCCCAATATCTAGAATTTGGTATCAAAATCTGAAACAGCGAAAGACCTCACTTTTTAATCATATGGTTAACGAACTTTAGTATAAAGGTAGAAGACACTACAATCAAACGTGATCTTTGATTGATAAGTCAATGAACACTTAAAGTAAACTCTAAGATGCTTAAGAAGCTTTCAAGAAAGCCAAGAGAAAGTCTCTCAATTTTTGTGTATGATTTGACTTCTTGTTCAAACATTTACAGTTAGGCTTTTATAAAGCCTTACAATAGGTTTTCCTAATAACACTAGGAAACTTTAACCAACGATCCATTCCTACTAAACTAGGACATTAGCTTTGGCCTTAGTCAATCAACAAGCTGGTTGAAACTTGATAAACCTACTTAAAATATCATAAGAATAATGACTCAAGTACCACTAATGAAATTAACTCCAATCGGACTAAATCAAGCATCCAAGTAAGTACATCGAACCATGCCAACCAGAAGACTACAGGCATGTTAGGCATGCCCACATCTAACCCCGTTTCCAACTTGAAGCAATTAAGACTTGAATTTGATCAATCTGTCTCCTCCTTGACTCAAACCGAGTTGACAAGTTTCTGTTCGGACAAGTCAAGCCCTTCAACACTTGTTTGGTTAGTTCCATGGTCTTGGACGACTTGAACTAGTCCTTGCAACTCCTCAAGAAGCCTCTTAGCCCTTGTGCATGTAATTGGACCTAGTGGAACTGGAATCTTATCCATGTAAATTGATGGCCGCTCTTGATTTTCCACACCATTCCCCTCCTCTTGAGAAGGATTTGCCCTCAAATCATGTTCAACCTCTGTAAGAAAAGGATGTAGATAAGAAACATTGAATATAGCACTAACATTATACTCACCTGGAAGATTGAGTTTGTACGCATTGTCATTGATGCATTCAACAACTTGAAACAGCCCATCTCCACGAGGTAGTAACTTATTCTTCCTTTGAGTTGGAAATCTCTCCTTTTGCATGTATAACCATACCTAATCACCTGGATCGAAGATCATCCTTCGACGACCCTTGTTAGCTTGCTTAGTATAATGTGCAGTTCTTTGCTCAATACTCAATCAGACACGTTCATGCAATTTCTTAACAAAATTTGCCTTTTTAGCACCATCTAGATTAACACTCTCAGACAAAGATGAAGGTGAAAGATCCAATGCTGTTAAAGGATTAAGACCATAAACAATTTCAAGAGGTGAACATTGAGTAGCACTATGCACTGAACGATTATAAGCAAAGTCAACGCATAGTAAACGCTCTTACTATATTTTAATATTCTTTTTAATAATTGCACGTAAGAGTGTAGACAATGTCCTATTGATGATCAGTTTGTGGGTGACTAGTAGTAGAAAAAAGTAATTTAGTTTCTAATTTTTCTCCCAAATTTTTTCAAAAGTAACTTAAGAATATTACATCCCTGTCAGAGACAATTGTCTTAGGCATGCCATGCAGCCTAATGATCTCTTTGAAAAATAAATCAGCAACACGAGATGTATCATCAGTTTTGTGACAAGGAATAAAATGTGCCATTTTTTAAAATCTATCAACAACAATGCAGATGCTATCATTACCGCTCTTAGACCTAGGTAACCCTAGCACAAAGTCCATAGAAATATTAATCCGATGTGCCTTTGGTATAGGTAAATAAGTATAAAGACCATAAGGTTGAAGTTTGGACTTAGCTTTCTGATATGTGATGCACTTAGTTGTCACATGTTCAACATCTCTCTTCATCCTTAGCCAATGAAAATGTTCTTGAAGGATTGTTAACATTTTTTATATGCCAAAATGTTCCATCAAATCTCCTCCTTGTGCTTGCCTAACAAGTAAAGAACGTATAGAACAGTTAGGAATACACAACTTATTAAGGTAAAATAAGAAACCATCAAGGATGTAGAACTTATCTTGTACAACCAAACCACAAGATGAATAAATGTGAGAAAAATCTAGATAATTGGAGTACAATTCCTTTACTAATTCAAAGCCTATCAACTTAGTATCAAGTAACGTAAGTAAGGAATGTCTACGTAATAGTGCATCAGCAACTATATTAGTTTTCTCAACTTTATACTTGATCACATAAAGAAATGTATTAATGAATGCAATCCACCTAACATGATACTTATTCAATTTATGTTGAGACTTAATATGATTAAGCGATTCATGAACAATGTGTATGACAAATTTCCTTGGCCTCAAATAGTGTTGCCAAGTTTCTAAAACCCTAACCAATGAGTACAACCCTTTATCATAAGTAGAGTAATTCAAAACTGTCCCATTGAGTTTTTCACAGAAATATGCAATAGGTTTCCCTTCTTGCATCAAGACGGCCCCAATTCCCACACTCAAAACATCATACTCAATTTCAAAAGTTTGGTCAAAACTTGGTAACACAAGTAATGGTGCATGTATGAGCTTGTGTTTCAGTAATTGGAAAGTGTTTTCTTGTGCATTTCCCCATGCAAATTATTCATTCTTTTCAATCGAAGAAGTTAAAGGTACAACAATGGTACTAAAATCCTTAACAAATTGCCTATAAAAATTTGTTAAACCATGAAAGCTGTGTACCTCACCAATCATTTTGGGAGTTGGCCATTCACAGATGGCTCTTTTCTTTTCCTCATCCACTTTGATTCCTTGTTCATTCACTACAAATCCTAGGAATACAAGTTGGTTAGTACAAAAAGAGCACTTCTTAAGATTATCATATAACTTTTCCCGTCTAAGTACTTCAAGAACAAGGTTTAAATGTTCAATATGATCCTCTATAAACTAGAATGTCATCAAAGTAAATAACAATAAATTTTCCTATGCATAGATGAACTACATGATTCATTAACCTCATGCATATACTAGGTATATTAGTTAGACCAAATGGCATGACTAACCACTCATACAATTTAAAGGCTGTTTTCCACTCATCACACTCTTTCATCCTTATTTAATGATAAACACTCTTTAAATTAATTTTTGTGAATATCAGAACGCCATACGACTCATCCAATATATCATCTAATCGAGGAATAGAGTGACGATACTTTACTGCTATTGAATTCATAGCTCTACAATCAATGCACATTCATCAACTTCTATCCTTCTTAGGAACCAACTTGACTAGAACTACGCACGGACTCAAGTTCTCTCATGCCCATCCTTTCTTCAAGAGCTCATCTACTTGATATTGAAGCTCTTTAGTCTCCTCTGATTCCATCCTATAAGCTGGTTTGTTAAGAAGTGAAGCTCTCAAAACCAAATCGATTTGATGCTTGATCCCCCTTATTGGTAGTAGTCCACTTGGGATCTCCTCGGGGAAGAAATCTTCAAAACTCTGCAAAAAAGAAACAACACTTGAAGGTAAAGTGTTAGTCAGGTCACTAGAAATAAACATCACTTCTTTGCACTAAAGTCCAAATATAGGTGTGTCAAAACTTAATGCTTTCCTCACTTCTTTGGTTTTTACCAACATATTTTGCTTTCTCTCTTGTCTTACCTCTTTGGCTGACTCTAAATAAGCCTTTTTCCTCTCACATTGCTTAGCCAACTCACTCACTTTTATACTCTTGGCTTTCTCTTTTTGTCTCTTTTCATTCTCAATCTCCCATTCCTTTTGTAGGCTTTCTTGATCCTCATGCACTTGATTAGGTGTTAGGGGTACAAGAAAAGCTTTTCTATTACAATGCTGGAATGAATATTTGTTAGAAATACCATCGAAGTGGATGCCCTTGTTGAATTGCCATGGTTTGCTGATGAGCGCGGGGTATACATATAACAATAAACTCATTCCATAGTCAAGTTTTACATTTATAAATCCTAAATACCCACATGTGATTTTTTGTAAGTATACGAGTCGTTTATTGAGTATAGGGGTATTAGATATTGATCCCACAGAGAACATTATCAATTACCGGTGGTTTTCAAATTTCTCTATTATTTAGACTATCACAAGTATAAGAAATTAAATCTATACTACAAATGTAACAAAAATACAATAGAAAGCTCTTAGAGGTATGAAATTCTTTACTACTCTTGCAAATGACATTACCGGTTAAGTGAATGTCATTATCTTGACTAGTTATAGCGTAATTTCCTTATGTATGTTAAACTTACTTTCATAGTGAATCAACTATACTTGTAACTAAGCCATACCTACTCTCATGGTCAAGAAATTAACAACAATCTCATTTCTTCTATGAAATTACATGAACCAATTCACTAAAGCCACAAAGGTTCACCGCTATTCTCGTGAATGTATTCCCAAGGTTTACCACTTCCTTGAACTAGTGTTAAATTCCAATTTTCATTGCAAACTTAACACCTTAATATTATCATAATTAATGGCCAATTAATTATGATTAGAAAAGTAAAAGTGATAAACAACTTGCTCAAAATAATATTATCAATTAACCAAGTAAACATCACTAATAAGATATAGAAAGTTCATTCATACTCTAGGCATAAACTTTATCTAAACATGAAAAACAAGATCTAACCTTGTATTATAGTTAAACATGAACTTAAATACAAAAGAGAAAGTGATAGGAAAGAAATCACCTTTGTCACATGAGTTTCAAGCTCTCCATCTTTACTCCTCAAATGTTCATTCAAATCTAGCTGCAAATATAAGAAGGATAAACTACTCCAACTATACTATACTACCCTAACTAATGAACCAAGGAAATTTTAGTGAAGACTACATTTTTGATGAGTTTCTCTAGCCTTCCAAAGTTGTCAAAAATGGTCTCCAAAGGCTGCTATTTATAGAGGATACAAGAGCCAAATGAGTTGTTTCTAGATTGGCAAATTTGTTTTTTGAACTCACCAAGAGTTGTTCTCTAAGTTTCCACACTCTTCTTGGTCAGATACAACCAAAATTACTTGTTGGAATTGACCTGGAAAGTTGTGTGAACAAAGAACAAGTTATAGAGTAATTTGTGGCTAAAAATGATAAATACGCTACTCAAAAACACGACCTTAAGTTGCGTATTATATCCCACGTATGGCCTTATTGTAGGTTTGCACTTTCTGGATAGATTTCATCCTTGCTCTATTTTTGGTCCAATTTCAATTGATATTTTCTTGTTGATAAAGGCTGAACTTGTTCTTATACAACCATGAAAGTTAGTTTTCCAATGCATCAGAAATCATCCAATTTGGAGCTCTGTGGACTGATAAATAACCAAAATAACCTCGACTGATCAAAACTCTATTTCGGCTTTCGACCATGAAATTACGCTTCTATATTTTGACTTTTTGACTTGGAAAACGACTAAAATGGACTTCAATATCTTCATACCAAATGTAGATCTATCTCTTAGCTTCAAAGTGGTTCAAGAATCACCTCAATCTAATACTTGTAACCCAAGATATAGCCAAAATATCACAAGGTGTCAAGGCTGAAAAACTTGCATTTCATCCTTTGAGTATTTTGCACTACATGTTCTTTTTTTATCACTTCAAATCATCAATAATCATCTAATTATCTTCTCAATTCACTCCAATTGATGATTGAATCATTAAACCTACAAAAACATGAAGTTTTCACCATTAAAATTCATAGAAATGCAATTTTTACGCTTTGAACCACAAAATGCATATTTCACTAAAAACTTAGTTAATTAGCTATAAAAGTAGTTAAAACACATCAAAACTAAATAATAAAACACACTTAAAACATGTAAAATATGCACTTATCAAACTCCCCCACACTTGAACCATTACTTGTCCTCAAGCAATAAGAAATACTAACCAACAATGATCCAAAATTTTGAAAATAAACATATGTGCATAATTCAACTTCATTTCCTCAAAACAAGATGAATAACTATTATATAATCATTCAACTAAACTCAAGTACTCTTAATATCAAGTAAAAAAGAGTCAATTATATGATAATTTTAACTAGTTCAACTCAATTTCTCATCCTTACCCAATTTTACAAGCAACGCCTATGGCCAATAAAATATTTCCTAAACCCATGATCATCTTCTTATTCATATTTAAAGAGCGATTATTCATATAACATAGCTAAATATTACTCAAGTTGCGAAAGTGCCTTTTGAGGCGAAGATTGAAACACTTCACATTCTTAAGTTGCCTTGCATACTCTTAATTTAAGTACCGTTTTATGCAAAAGTCGATATTTTTAGATGAAAACTTCCAGTTACTAAGTACATGAACCATTAGAGTAGAACAACTTTTATTCTTTTCTTTTTTTTTTCTTTTTTTCTTTTCCTACTTTATTTTTTTCAAAGCAAAGATAATAACATTCCCTCAAAAAATAATCATGAGAAGAGTGTTACACTTATTAACTATATTAATTATTTAACTATGTAAAATCAAATAAAGAGAAGCAATTTCATCAAATATGCAAAATGTAGGCATAATTTTCTCTACATTTCAAGATATACTTTCCTATAAATACACAAATTATAATCACATAATAGTCATTTCCAAATTAAATGAGAAAAGAAGTTTCCAAGTCACATATATTTATCTTAAAAGTAGAAGGAATTTGAGTTACTAATGGTGTGGAACTTGTTACTCATTGGATAAAATTGAAAAAATTAAAACTTTTTGGGGCATGCTGCGATTTTGGACAAAATTTTGGTAGAGTTACCCCTTATAAATAGAGAAAACTCTCTGCCAGCAAACCCAAGATTGACAAATTTAAGCACAAGAAATATTTCCAAGGCAAGTCCAAATTATTTCAATCACAAGTCAATCACAACCGATGCATATCATCTCAATTCTCTCCCCCTCACTTAACATGCACATTGTCTTCAATGTGTAAGAAGGGAAAGCAAGATACAGAAAAGAATACTCCCCTATTATTGTGATTGAAATGTGTAACATTGAAACTTCACAATCCATTGTCCGTGTTTCTTCAAAACTTCATGAGTTCCATTTGAATCCATTAGTAATACAACCTAAAATGCAAAATAGCAAATAAATTAGGTAAGGGTCAAGGATGCAAAAAGTGACAAAGGTATGAAGAATATTTTGCAAATAACTCTTTGCCAGAGTCTCTCATATCATCACACCATATTTCCCAAACTCTTTAAGCATTTAACACAATTATCACCCTCTTTACCTAGAATAAGAAGTACAAACATGTTTCCTTCTCTAGGTAATTATAATATCACCATATAATAACGAAATTAGGTGCAAAACTCATTCTAAGAACATACATTATGCACATGTTCAATTTTACCCATAAATTATCACCAAAATTGCCAAATTCTTCACATATTCAAAATTCATCATCCAATCATACTCTATATGAAGATTAAGTAATCAAATCGTCTAAAATGTTACCGTATAACGAATGTGTACATGTAAGTATCATAAATAAGTCACATTTTGGCAATTTGAACCACCCAATTATGCTTAACAATATTCCAAGAGCAATTACTACATTTAATCATAAAATAGGAATATGCAAAAATTGAAACATTACATAGATCATCGCATTTCCACATTTTGATGATCTAAACATGCTTAGAGATGTTACATAAGTATAATAAAACTTAGGGCAAAAAACTTCAGCGGCCATTAAACTATTGACGGGATCATGTTTTGGCCATCGACCTATTTTTTGTCAATAATTGGACATTAAACAATTTAATTGTGAGGACCCGAAAATTTCTTATTTCTATCTTATTTTACTGGCTTAATTAAATATTTATTCACCTGTTTTCTCTGAATAATTTATTTCAACCATTTTAAACCCATTTACGCGGAACGATGTCTCACTTACATTTTTAAAACGTCCCATTAGCAAATTTAATTTTTCGGAGGCTCGTTTAGTAAGGAATAATAAGTACACATTTTTCGAGGTAAAACTCGATCCGAGAGTGCAATAATCTTGGAGATTTGAAGACTCATGTTTATTCTTAAAATAGTTATTTTTATAATTATTTACCTTAGAGTTTGTTAATTATATCACCGTTACATAAATTTCTTGTAAGTTTCGCTTTATCTGGAAAGGGTAAATGGAGATTTAAGAAACTTGTACTAGATTACTAAGAGTGAATAATTATAATGTTAAAGGAAGTACATTAGAGATTTAGTGCACAAGTGAAACAAACCTGAGAGAAATCAGTGATACGAAACCCACGCGCGACCACTAGTGAGAGTTGACTTTTTGCACATAACTTAAAGTAACTTTCCTTCATTATTTCTCCCCAAGTTTCGCTACACAATCACTCCCTCACCATCTCTCATTTTCGGCTAGCCAAGGGTAAAAGGGGGAAAGAAAAATTTCATTCTTTGGCTCCAAGTTTGCTAGCTAATCATTATTCAAGCTTTCCTCACAAGGTAAAGACACCAAAAACGCTTCTCTTTCTCTCATCTTGGCCGGCCAAAACAGCAAGGAAAAGAAGAAAGAAAGCTCCAATTCATCTTGTCCAATTCTTGCTCCAAATCACTTCTAACTTTGCATCCAACTCACAAACCACTTGGGAATTCACTTAAGCTAGAAGAAAGATTTCATCTTGGCGGTTTTCTTGGAGCTTTTGGTGCCAAAAAAATTTCTGGTGTCTCTCAAAGCTAGGAGGTAACCATCCAACACCATCCAATCTTTCATTCTTGGCTTTAATGGGTTTTATCCTTGGCTTTGAAGCTTGTAGTTTCATTATTGTTGTTATTACTTGGATTAGATTGATTGAAGTGGGCTCTATGAATTCCCACCTTGGTTGTATGGGCTGATATGATGATATAATGCTTGATTTGAGTTGTTTAAGTGTTGGTTAAGATGATTATGGATAGAAAATCGAAGGAAAG